GTGAACAGAGGCACAGAACATACACTGTTTAAATGGTTATCTTTGGCTTGTGAAATTATAGGTGCCTTTTCTTTTTCTCATGCTTTACCAAGTTCCAAAGTTCAGTAATGAATCTATGTTATTTTAGGATCAGAAAAATTAAAGCAGGGGGGCGCCTGCTGCTCCCTCTGCCTGATACTCTGCCTGCTTGTGCTCCCTCCCTCCCTCCCCCCCTCCCTCTCTTTCCCTTCCCCCCAACAAATAAATAAATAAATAAAATCTTTAAAAAGAAAATAAGAAACCAGATAACAAAGCAAACTGGTTAAAATAAAACTATCACAGGAAGTACCTTTAAGGAAAGACCTGTGAGGACCTCCTGCTGAGTAGGATGCACATGTTCTAGTTCATGGATTTTGTGACCTCTCCCGTAACTTCTCCATGGCCTCTTCTGCATCATTCGTGGTTCTCAGCTCAGTTCCTAGTAGATAAGTTTGCTCCACAGTTGAGTTCTAGAAATTTGGGCCGATGTACTTTGATCACCCAGGGAACAACACCTTCCGTTGCCATAAAATTTCCGGGCTTGTAACACGTTGAGAATGAGCGATACCTGAAATGTTTTCGGTAAATAGCAATGTATCTTTGGTGGTACTTAGTATACTGCCTTTATAGCTCTGGCAGCTCCTCTCGTGGCTCTTCTTGTTCTTACCCCTTTTTGTTTCCTTCCGCACTTGTTGCAGTCCTCCACCACGCATGCATTCACTCACACAGCTTTCCTCCCTCTGCTTCCCGTCCAGTTTCCTCTTGATACGCTTTTATTGTTAGATTTCAGCAGTGGCCACAGGGAAGCCCAAGAGAATTCCTGTAACGTCAGAGGCTGTCATGGCCTTCCTCAGTGTTCCCTCTTCCCGTGGTATGCAAGGGCTGCAGGGGGGGTTGCCCGCCTCTCCCCAAATCTCCAAGCGTGTGGTACTTAGAGTAGCAGCCCCACGTTGCTTCACCTGTAGAAGTACTTTGGACCTTTATTTTTTACCCCTTTTCACTCTTGAAGATTGGTTTTTAAAAATTTTACTTATTAGAGAGCGCGTGCACGCACGCATGAGCAGGAGGAGGGGCAGAGAAAGAAGCAGACTCACCGCTGAGCAGGGAACCCAATGAGGGACTCGATCCCAGGACCTTGAGATCATGACCTGAGTTGAAGACAGACGTTTAACTGACTGAGCCACCCAGGCACCCCTTGAAGAAATCTCCTTTCTGCATTTCATAAAATATTTTTATACGAGAATGTAAAAATCACACCCTTACGATGTTATGTTTCAACAGGTTTAAGAATGTTATCTTTGAAATCAGTCCAACAGAAGAAGTTGGAGACTTTGAAGTGAAAGCCAAGTTCATGGGCGTTCAAATGGAGACGTTTATGTTGCATTATCAGGTGGGTATGCACTACACAGAACCGAAAGCTCTGTATGTGCAGTGGTTGTTCTCAATGAGGTAGGAGAGCAGGTAGAAAGGAAATCTGTTTGGAGACAGCTGTCCCATACCCAGCAGTGAGCTGGGCCCCACACGGGCGGGAAAGGAGCAAGGGCCCCTGTGCGTCTGCCTTTGTCTGCTCTCCCTGGAGAGCTGTGGCAGATCGGTACGATTCTCCAAGCTTTTATCTGAAGCTTCTACTTCGTGTTGCCACTAAATTGAACTGGTACCTTGACCTTGAACAAACTCTTAACTATTGATAGTAGAAAATTGTTAGCTTATTCAGTAGCTTGAAATCTTTTCTCTCATTTTGATTTGATCTAGGGGCTTAAAGGTGTATTTCTGACAAGGCGTGTGTAAATTGCATCTTTGTAAACTGAATCCCATTTTAAATTCAGCTAGAACTCTGCAGTGAATCATTTTATAACATAATTTTAGCTAATTTTTATTCCAAAATATCTCTAGTTTTTACATATTAGAAAAGCACCAGGATACTGCAAGGCCTCCTGGGCCCTGTCCAGGCTCTCGCACTTCATGTGTGTCCTCATCAGCTCCATCCCCTTCGCACTGCTGTCCTCTGTTGGTCTGGGCAGGGGCCATCTCTGCACGTGCTGACCCCCCGTCCCTGTCCTTTCTTCCTCTAAACGTGTTACCACTCTGACCAGCACTCCCCACCTCCCCGCCCCAAACTGTGCATTCCATAAGGACCGTGGTGTGTCTTCGTTTCCTTCTCAGTGATGAGTAGATCCTCAAATGTGTTAGCTGAACAAAAGTGAAGTGATTCCGTGATGCATGTGCTCAGGGGCTTCCGCGAAGGAAGATGCTGTTGGCCTTCAGGCTCACCAGAGTTGTACAGGCCAACCAGCCTGCCTCGGGTACCGTGTTCGTCCATGCACAGGTGCATTAAATAGGGAGTGAGCGGGCGCCTGGGTGGCTCAGTTGGTTAAGCGACTGCCTTCGGCTCAGGTCATGATCCTGGAGTCCCAGGATCGAGTCCCACATAGGGCTCCCTGCTCAGCGGGGAGTCTGCTTCTCCCTCTGACCCTCACCCTTCTCCTTCTCTCTCTCTCTGTCATTCTCTCTCTCTCAAAAATAAATTAAAAAAAAATTAAATAGGGAGTGAGGATCAGGTATGAGGTGTTATGTTGGCCCAGGTGACACACCAGGGCCTTCGTTCTCATGGAGCCGCTAGGATTTTTCCAGAAGATGAACTGGTTGAACTTCGGGGTTCTTTCAAGTGCTTTGACTCTTGCTTTCTCAACACGTCTCTTCTGAAGTTCACGGGTGAGACTTCCTAAATGTGCTCTGGACCGTGGAGGGCAGTGGGAGAAGCGGGGGCTTTACACTCTGATCCAGATCCACTCCGTCCCACACGGTGCTGTTGGGCAAGTCCCTGAACGTCTCCAAGCTTCGTCTTTAAACTTGAGATAATCAGACCTCTAGGACTTTGATCAGGACTTAAAAAGACACTATCTGATGTGCTTACCCAATATCGAGCACATAGTAGGCACCTAATAAACATTTTGTCCTTTTGCCCCTTGCCTTCAGAATATAAAAGCTTTTTCACGTGGAATAGAAAGTAAGACTCTAGTCGATACCCTTGCGACAACATTGGTGGCCGTGTCCTGGTTTTAGTGACTAGTATATTTATCACAGATTGAAATGCCTTCACCTTCTCCAGGTGACCTGTCACTTAGACAAACCAGAGACACGTTATTGTCACTTCTGAAATAGGAAGTATGTGTGATGACTGAACATGCTGCTTTTTCTTTCCCTGTTTTGTGTATTTTGATATGAACCACATGACTTCTTAACTCCAAATGGACCAGAAAATTCAGTTGAGCAGCGTGCCCTGTTCCTCGAGCTCTCAGGGGTTGTGCAGGGGACAGCACTCCTTTCTCACTCCACTTCATGTCTGTCATTCCTCATTCCTTCTGGGTCCCTCCCTACCTTGTGTCTTGTCTTATGCCACAGACTTGTTTGACGGTCAAAATGTTTTTTTGAACAGGACCTACTGCAGCTACAGTATGAAGGTGTTGCGGTCATGAAATTATTTAATAGAGCTAAAGTAAATGTCAACCTTCTGATCTTCCTCCTCAACAAAAAGTTCTACGGGAAGTAATTGATCCGTTGCCACCAGCCCAGAAGGATGAAGGAAAGAAGCTCCTCACGGTTTCCTTTCTCGGGTCCTTCTTTCCTCATTGGAAGCAAAGACATGGCCCACAACAAAGCCTCAACCTGATACACTCCCAGCGCCACACTTTTCACCCCTCCCGCTCTGATGGGACTTCTGTTGCCCTTTCTTCATAGTGAAATTGTATTTCAGGCTTAGTCTGATCCTCTTGTTCCTTCATTTTCTTCCGTCACTTAGGCAAGAGCGGAAGCTCCACTAAACTCTCTCTCCGTTGTTAAGGTCTGAGAGGCCTCATGACTCTCTTGTAAGCTTTGGTGTTTGTGTGAATTAGCAACAGGGATGGTGGGACTTGAATTCTTGCTGTTTGGAAGCAGGCGCTCTCAGCACTAGTAACAGACACGCACGGAAGGCACACAAACATCTCCAGTCTCTAGGTTTTCATTTAAAGGTGAAGTACCTTTACATTTCCATCCCATTGGTCAAATGGAAGGATCCAGGGGCTTCTTGCTTCTCTTCCATTCTGTTGTCCTTTATGCGCAGGAGCTAACGGAAATCACTGTCTGTGCTCAAAGGAAACCTTTCTAGCAAAGGGGGAGACACGGCTTTTAAATGTCACCATTAAATGGGAACCGGGCTGTCGGTGTAGCTCTCTGATCGGCGGGCAGGAGAGTCCCACCGGGAATACCCAGCTGCCGAGGGAGGTTCACCGCGGTCTGCCGTGCCTGCGTGTTTGCGCTGCTGGAGGGAGGGGGCTCCATCCGGGAAGGCGGTCCTGTCTGCTCTCCCTGTGGCGAAGGGACCGGCCAGCCCTAGCATAGAGTGTAATTGTCTTCAAAACTGTTTTATGTCTCAAGAGTGCCTTATGAAAGTGTAGATTTACTTCTTGAAATGTGGGTGATAGGACTTTTTTTTAAGATTTATATAATGCTTTAAAAGCCTTTAGAATATGGTAAGAAAATGGTTTTTAAAAATTGGCTTATCTGTATATCTGAACTCTTAGAACTTTCTTACATAGCTACAACACTAGGATTTATCTGCAGGGTTGCAGGGAGATAATCCTGCCTTAAATAGACTGAAACAAAAACAAACAAAACCAGCCAACCAACATTAACTTGGTATTAAGATCTCTTTTTCCCACTTCTTTCTCTTCCCTTGCTGCCCACGCCATGCCTTTATTTTATGAGCTCCCATTTTTCTGGGTTTAGTCAGAAACAATTCAATTCTAAACATTGAATTTAGGAAGCTTTGTTATTACATAAAAAGTCATATACTTAAAAACACACACACACACACACACACACACAACAAAACTGTTTATCCAGGAAAATATGTTGGAAATCATGCTACTGAGCCTCCATTTTCTCTGATGTTTTGGTTCAGTATTCTTTTATCATAAAACATAAAGTTTAACAAAATAAACTTACATTTAAAAATTTATTGATGTATATTGAAAGCCAATAAACTGTTCGTTAATAACAAATCATGTGATGTGTCCCTATTACAAATGTAAGCATTGGAGATGTGTTTTTCCTGAGAGACCGTTTACTCGGTAAGGTCCACCATCGTGCAAATGTGAGTTGTCTTGAGTCTTCACACCCTCCACCCGGGACGAGGTGAGGTGTGGCTCGCCACCAGGCTGACCTGGTTTTTTACTGTATTTTGCAAGATCACTTTTTAGTGAATATTTTCCTCCGATCCAAAGCAGATGCTAAGACAAGTAGCATCACCACAAAAACTGAGACCTACCAAAGTGTCAACCCCTTCTCCTTAAGAGCCTAGCCATCCCCGATGCCCATCGGACCCCCATGGCCGCATCCATGGCAGACCCTGAGCAAAGTTTACAACTCCTTGAATAAAATACGGTGTTTCAGTTATTCGTGAGGATTGTAGTGCCCTTGATAAACTCCTAACGCAAAATAGTGCAACATGCACTTCAAAATGTCCTGTAGAATTATGGTTCAAAGAGCATGGAGAAGGCCCAGACCAACTCGTGTCCCGGCGTTGGAACCACGGAGCTCTTCCTCCTGCTGTTCATTGGCGGTAGCCTTCTCCATCTCATCCCTCCTCCTCTGACCTTCTCTTCCACCGGCTCCAGGACATTTATCATGAATTTACTTCCAACCGTTTGGACTGCCCATGAGGTTGCCGCACACAATTGCCTTTGTATCTCTAGGAAATAAAAAGGTCATTTGTTCATGTTTGTGTTTATTTTTCTCAGTTTCATTGTTAGCAGTTCCTGTTCAACAGCGTTGGCTAGAGCGAGCTTTAATGATTGCAAACTACAACAGAAAACAACTCCCTCTCCAGTCTTCCTGAAGGAGCAAACCCACGTCCCCTACCAGCTCACGGAATTCTGGCAAAGCCAGGTTTCGCACGGGAGTGCGTTTAGCCTTGTTTTTTTTGACGTGTCCTCTGCTTCACGTAGCCTCAGCAGAAAAAGAAGTCGGGGCTGCGGAGAGCACGCGGAATGCGGCGTCTGGTTGGCTGATGGCGGGGAGTTGGGCACCGCTGCGGCCTCGGGTCCCAACGGGGCTGCCCCGCACCAGGTCGTCTCCGCTCCACCCAGGTCACCAGAAAGGGACTAGTGGAAGTTGCATATGGAAAAAGTAAACAGCAAAAGGGGGGGGGGGGGGGATTGGCTTCCTTTTGAGTAAGGCCCCGAGGCACAGCCTCACTCAGAAGTACAAATATGTATATAATCCTGTTGTGTTTATAAACTGTGGCCAGACTCTATTGGAAAATTAGGGACTGGGAAATAAGAGGAAAAACAGAATACCTCGAAAGTAAACAGCAGTGGAAGACGGGAGACGGCGGTCCGTGCGAGTGGAAGAGTGGTGGGCGCTGTGCTGGGAGCGCGGGACCCCCCCCCAGCCCCGCTTTTCTCCTCCAGAAGTTGGGGGCTGCTCTCTGCGGCCGCGTCACTGAGACAACTCGGGCTCTACGTCGTCCTGCAAAGAAATCAAGGGAGGCAGAAAGGTGCTTATCAGGACCTAACGGTGTTAAATAAGGAAACCAGCACCAGGGCAAACGGGAGGAAGGGGCGCGGGAGCCCCAGTGGCCCCCCTCCCCGTGCCCCACAGCCGCGCCCCTCCCGCCTTTATGCCGGTGCAAACCCACGGGGAAGTGGGGCACCTGGACCCCTGCACGGATTCTAAATCTGACATCTAAACTTCCTAACCTTTAAATCACGAAGTGTGAAGCTGCCCACATACTGCGAATTTCAAGATAAAAATTACCTCGCTTTTAAAGGTATGCAGCAGAACCCGCTGTGCATCTTTCTTTACACTCAGTGCTCACCACAGTAAGTGCCGTCACCCCCTGTCACCAAGCGTTAACTACAGTTTTACTAATCCCTATGCTGTATTTTCCCTTTTTTTTGAAGATTTTATTTTTAAGTCGTCTCTACACCCAACACGGGGCTCGAACTCACAACCCCAAGATCAAGAGTCGCAGCTCCTCTGACTGAGCCAGCCAGGCGCCCCTGTATGTTGTGCTTTCCATCTCCATGACTTACTTATTGGAAGTTTATACCTCTTAATCCCCTTTATTTCATCCACCCACCCCCAACCATCAATTTGTTCCCTGTAAGTAAGAGTTTGATTTTTTTCTTGCTTCATTCGTTTCGGGTTTTTTTTTAGATCCCACATGAGTGAAATCATCCGGTATATGTCTTTCTCTGACTTACTTCTCTTAGCATAATACCCTGTAGGTCCATCCATGTCGTCTCAAATGGCAAGCTCTCTTCCTTTTTTACGACTAATATTCCATTGTGTGTATAGCCCACATCTTTTATCTGTTCATCCATCGATGGGCACTTGGGCTGCTTCCAGATCTTGGCTATTGTAAACAATGCTGCTATAGGAGGTGCGTATGTCTTTTCAAATTAGCATTTTCGTTTTGTTTGGGTCAATACCCAGTAGAATTACTGGATCATAGGGTAGTTCTATTTTTAAATTTTTTGAGGAACCTCCACACTGTTTTCCACAATGGCTGCACCAATTTACATTCCCACCAACAGTGCACGAGGGTTCCTCTTTCTCCACATCCTTGCCAACACTTGCTCTTTCTTGTCTTTTTGATTCTAGCCATACTGACAGATGTAAGGTGATATCTCATTTTGATTTGCACTTCCCTGATGAATAGTGATGATGAGACCTTTTCAAGTGTCTTTTAGTCATTTGTATGTCTTCTTTGGAAAAATATTCAGGTCCTCTGCTCATTTTTTTAAAAGATTTTATTTGAGAGAGGAGGGAGAAGCAGACTCCCTGCTGAGCAGGGAGCCCAACAAGGGGCTCGATCCCAGGACTCTGAGATCATGACCTGACGCTTAACCAACTGAGCCACCCAGGTGCTCCTCTGCTCATTTTTTAACCAGATAATTTTTGCTCTAAGTTCTTAATGTATTTTGGATATTAATTCCTTATCAGATAATATCATTTGCAAATATCTTCTCTCATTCAGTAGGTTGCCTTGTCATTTTCTTGATGGTTTACTTCCCCGTACAAAAGCTTTTATTTTGGTATAGTCCCAATAGTTGGTTTTTGTTTTCCCAACCTATCCAGGAAAATGTTGCTAAGGCCAATGTCAAAGAGATGACTGCCTATGTTTTCTTCTATGAGTCTTACGGTTTCATGTCTCACATTTAGGTCTTTAACCCATTTTGAGTTTATTTTTGTATATGGCATAGGAAAGTGGTCCAGTTTCATTCTTTTGCATGTGGCTGTCCAGTTTTCCTAGTACCATGTATTGAAGAGGCTGTCTTTTCTCCATTGTATATTCTTTTCTCCTTTGTTGTAGGTTAATTGACCATATAAGTGCGCGTTTATTTCTGGGTTCTCTATTTTCCATTGATCTATGTGTCTATTTTTGTTCCCTCTCCATTTTTAAAGGTACACAAACAGCTCTTTATCAGTTCGAACCCTTACATCTTTTTCCTCTTTAAGCTCACGTTTCCATTCCACTTCCCTCAGAATTTTATCCTAATGTGATATTTAAAGCATAAGTCTTTTTATGATTCTGTCATGATTATCTCACAAAAATAAAAATTTGTTTTATTTCCTTTGACCATAAGGCTGTGAATGCAATCCAGAAAAATACTTTGTGTCATTACAGTTCTCATTAATGCGTGTTTGATCAAAGTGCCATATTGTCTGGACAGTTGTTTAAGTAAGATATTTGAAATGCGTTTCTTAATGGGATAAATGAAGAGTTTTTAAATGAAGGTTTAAGGAACTTATGGATAAACATTACTACTTGCTAGAATGAGTTAGGGCTCATGGCCAGTTCTCTTCTATTTTTCATTTTTATAAATGTAAGCTCTGCGAACCTTTGCTATCAAATTAGCACATGGCAATGGAAGGTGTTTCGTTATAATGATGTCATCCATTTTGGGGAACTCCTTAGTTTATCCAAAGAATCTCAGTGATTTATGGTAATTAGAACATGATTAAGTCTTGCAATTTTGTTAAAAGCAAAAAAAAAATTACCTGAATTTATTATTCAGTTATGAAATTATCCACTTCCTCCAGATTTTGGAAGTAGACAAGGGGCTTCTCAAAGACTTATTAAATAACTGAATTAAACTCATAACGTTTTGACTTAGAGACGACTTATTTAACCCAATATGCTAAAGATGCTTGGGGAAAATGGAAATATTTTAATACGCCTTCAGCACTACAACTTTTAAACTTTTTTATTAGGAAAAATATAAATAGAAGGAATAGTATAATGAACTCCCATGTGGCCTCAATTTTTTTTTTTAAAGATTTTATTTATTTATTTGAGACAGAATGAGAGAGAGAGAGAGCACATGAGAGGGGGGAGGGTCAGAGGGAGAAGCAGGCTCCCCGCCGAGCAGGGAGCCCGATGCGGGACTCGATCCCGGGACTCCAGGATCATGACCTGAGCCGAAGGCAGTTGCTTAACCAACTGAGCCACCCAGGCGCCCGTGGCCTCAATTATTATCCACACATAGTCAAACTGTTCTCCTCCCTAATGCCACCCCAAGCCCCCTTAGGTTATTTTGACAAATCCCAGCTATAGTACCATTTCAACCGTAAGTACTTGAGGATGTGTCTCTAGCATAGTGTTTCTAATTGGGGGGCAACTGTGTTCCCAGGAGACATTTGGCAATATTTGGAGATTTTGTTGTTGTTGTTGTCCCAGCTAAGGGAGTACTGCAGCCATTTAGTGGGTAGATGGCAGGGATCCTGATTAACATCCTACAATGTGCAGGACAATCTCCCTCAACAAGGGATTATCCAGTCCAGAATGTCAGTAGTACTGGGGTGAGAAATCCCACTCTGGGGCGCCTGAGTGGCTCAGTCGTTAAGCGTCTGCCTTCAGCTCAGGTCATGATCCCAGGGTCCTGGGATCGAGCCCCGCATCCGGCTCCCTGCTCCGCGGGAAGCCTGCTCTCCCTCTCCCACTCCCACTGCTTGTGTTCCTGCTCTCGCTCTCTGTCTCTGTCAAATAAATAAATAAAATCTTTAAAAAAAAAAAAAAAAAAGAAAGAAATCCCACTCTTTACATAGAAGGACTTAAGAAAAAAATCCCCAAACCATTATCACACTTAAACAATCATTTTAAAATACCAGACATGCAGTCGATGTTTGCATTTCTGCAGTCTCTTGCAATTGCTCAAATAGTTCATATGTTTGAATCAGGTGTCAAACAAGGTACACATGTCACATTTGGTTGACAGGTCTTTTAAATCCTTTAACTATAAATTCTCTTTTTTAATCTTGCAGTTTTATGATGTTGATCCTGTAGAATTTCTACATTCTGGATTTCTTTCTTTCTTTCTTTCTTTCTTTCTTTCTTTCTTTCTTTCTTTCTTTCTTTCTTTCTTTCTTTCTTTCTTTCTTTCTTTTTTAAGGTTTTATTCATTTATTTGACAGATAGCAAGAGAGCACAAGCAGGGGGAGCAGGAGGCAGAGGGAGAGAGAGAAGCAGGCTCTCCGCTGAGCAGGGAGCCAGATACGGGACTCAATCCCAGGACCCTGGGATCATGACCTGAGCTGAAGGCAGACACTTAATGACTGAGCCACCTAGACTCCCCCTGACCATCAGTTCTAATGAGCTAGTACTAAACCTCCGATCTTATCCCAGGAATAATTGGGAGTAACTGATGGATTTTAAGAAGAACAAGAAGTATTCAGATGTGGGCTTTAGACAGGTGAAGGGAGAATGGGGACGAGGAGGGAAGACTCAGGACAGCGTGTGCTAAGGATCTTTTGTGCGTCCCGCTGGACCCACTCTCCACCCTCACTTTCCTCTGTGCCCAGAGCTGCTGGCCACATGCACCGCGTCATTGTCTCCCTCCAGGCTGTGGTTGCATTTGGCCAGTGGTGGGCATCACAAGGAGATTGGAGGTCTGGGGGAAGGCAGGGTTAGGATTTCTTCTTCCAGGTTGCTGCATTACCTGCCTCTGCCTACCAAAGGCCAGAGCTCGGGTCAGGCGGCTCTGGCCCAGCACCCTGGGCGCCTGGTGGCTCAGACAGTTAAGCATCTGCCTTTGGCTCAGGTCCTGATCTCAGGGTCCTGGGCTGGAGTCCCGCGTCGGGCTCCCCTGCTCAGTGGGGAGTCTGCTTCTCCCTCTACCCCTCCCTGCTGCTTGTGATCGCTCTCTCTCACACTCTCCCTCTCTCTCAAATAAATAAATAAATAAAATATTTTTTAAAAAATTGAACAAGTGTTCCTGATTGAAGGATGCTAAGAAACATGACACCTGAATATAGTGAGCAATCTCAGATTTTCTTTTGCCATAAAGAATGTTACTGGGACCGTTGGTAAACATTTTAATAACGTCTGTAGATTAGATAACAGTACTATATCTGTCAATTTCCTGATTTTGATAATTACACTGTGATTATGTAAGAGAATATCCTTGATTTTATAAAATAAGCACTGAAGTATCTAGGGGGAAAGGGGCACCATATCAACTTACTCTCAAATGATTTAGAAAAATATATATAGGGGCGCCTGGGTGGCTCAGTCGGTTTAAGCATCTGACTCTTGATTTCATCTCAGGTAGTGATCTCAGGTCACGATCGCAGGGTTGTGGGATCCAGTCCCGCATTGGGCTCCATTCTCATTAGGGAGTCAGCTTGAGATTCTCTCTTTCCCTCTCCCTCTGCTCTCCCCCCCCAAAACAAACAAATCTTAAAAAAAAAAAAAAAGAAAAAATATATAGAGAGAGATAAAGAAATGATAAAGCAAGTGAAGTAAAATATTTGAGGGATCTGAGTAAAGAGTATATGAGAATTCTTTTTTTTAATTAAAAAAAATTTTTTTAGGGGCCCCTGGGTGGCTCAGTTGGTTAAGTGACTGCCTTCGGCTCAGGTCGTGATCCCAGGGTCCTGGGATCGAGCCCCATGTCGAGCTCCCTGCTCAGCAGGGGGTCTGCTTCTCCCTCTGATCCTCCCCCCTCTCATGTGCTTTCTCTCTCATTCTCTCTCTCAAATAAATAAATAAAATCTTTAAAAAAAAATTTTTTTTTAGAGAGGGAGAGAGAGGGTGAGGAGAGGGGCAGAGGGAGAGAGAGCATCTTAGGCAGGCTCCATGCCCAGTGTGGAGACCAACGTAGGGCTTGATATCACAACCCTGAGATCATGACCTTAGCTGAAATCAAGAGTCAGTTGCTTAATGGACTGAACCACCCAGACGCCCCTCTTTATTTTTTTTTAGATTTTATTATTTTTTTTTAAAGATTTTATTTATTTTGAGAGAGAGCACAAGTGGGGTAAGGAGCAGAGGGAGAAGCAGACTCGAGTGGGGTGAGGGGCAGAGAGATGGGAAGAAGCAGACTCTCCACTGAGCAGGGAGCCCTATTTGGCGCTCGATCCGGGCGCTCCGGGATCATGACCTGAGCTGAAGGGAGACACTTAACCAACTGAGCCACCCAGGCGCCCCCTAGGTTTTAAGTAATCTCTATACCCAACGTGGGGCTTGAACTCACAACCCTGAGTTCAAGGGTCACAGGCTCCACTGACTGAGAAAGCCGGGCACACACACCAAGAATTCTTTAAATTATTGCAACTTTTCTAAAAGTCTAAAATTATGTAAAATAAAAAAGTTTTAAAGAAATGAGGATCCTTGGGACGCCTGGGTGGCTCAGTTGGTTGGGCGTCTGCCTTCGGCTCAGGTCATGATCCCAGGGTCCTGGGATCGAGTCCTGCATCGGGCTCCCTGCTCCGCGGGGAGCCTACTTCTCCCGCTGCCTCTGTCTCTCTCTCTGTCTCTCATGAATAAATAAATAAAATCTTTAAAAAAAAAAAAAAAGAAATGAGGATCCTTATGTGCATCAGGAATGATTTTGGCTGCAAGAAATGAAAACTGACTTCTAGTGACTTAAACAAATTTATTTCACATAAATCTAGAGGAACACTAAGTATTGGTTTAGCTATTCAACAATGGCAATATTGTTTTTTTATCTTTCTGAATACTGAGTTTGTTTTTATGCCTTCTCTTTCCATGGTGGCAAATGGCCCCAGAGGTCCAGGCATCATCTCTGTATTCAAAGTATATGGAAGGAAGAGGCTAGCTGCAGCTAAATGTGTCCCTTGTTAAGCTTCCCATAAGGCTTGCCCTTACATCTCAATAACCGAACTGGCCATGTTGCCAACCCAATGGATGAGGGAGGCCAGGAAGTGGCATCTGCCTCTCTGGTCTCTGCAACAGAAGATTGGAGGGAGTGTTTGCCAAGCTAAGAGGTTGAATACTTTTAATTTGAAAACTACGAACTGGGGACGCCTGGGTGGCTCTCAGTTAAGTGTCTGTCTTCAGCTCAGGTCATGATCTCAGGGTCCTGGGATCGAGCCCCGTGTCAGGCTCCCTGCTCAGCGGGGAGTCTGCTTCTCCCTCTTCTGCTGCTTCCCCTGCTTGTGGCCCTCTCTCTCAAATAAATAAATAAAATCTTAAAAAAATACAAGAAAAAGACTACAGACTATTAATTCTTTGACCCATCCTATGATTCCATTCTTTTCTCTTTTTTTTTTTTAAGATTTTATTTATTTGAGAGAGAGTGAACAAGAGAGAGAGCACACAAGCAGGGGGAGTGGGAGTGGGAGAGGGAAAAGCAGGCTCCCCACTGAGCAGGGAGCCCAAAGTGGGCTCAATCCCAGGACCCTGAGATCATGACTTGAGCTGAAGGCAGACGCTTAACCAACTGAGCCACCCAAGAGCCCCCTATGATTTCATTCTTAATGGCAGGATTTCTTAAGGTTTGGCCCCCAAACCCCCTGTAACAGAATCATCTGTTATAAAGGCAGAATCCTGGGCTACAATCCCGTCTGCAAAAATCATAATCTCTGGGGATGGGATCCAGGAATATAAATTTTAAACAAACACCTGGATTCCAACAAAGTTGTAGACAAAGGTAAATGGAAAACAGTAAAACACTTAGAAATACTGGATAAGACATGACAAAAACTGTAACGCATACTTGAACTCACAAGAAAAGAAAATCCTCAAGTGACTAAAAATCAAATAGTAAGCATGTGCTTATCTATTCCAGTAATCTAGGAGCTTCAAGTTTTTGGGTTTTTTTAATTAACTAAACTCCATACTTTATTCACATTTCCTCGGTTTTTACCTATTATCTTTTTTCTGTTCCAGGATTCCACATGACATTTAGTCATCATGTCCCCTTAGGCTCCTCTTGGCTGTGATGGTTGGAGTTTCAGTTCTTAAGTCCCAGAGAGTTAGACCAGGAACCCAAGCCAGGACCTCAGGTGTATTGGGAGAAGCCATCTTCTCTGGGACCTGAGCATTCTTGGACATGGTGGCTGGTTATGCCGCAAACGCAAATCTCTGATCATTCTTTCCTGGGCCATTTCTCAGGCTTGTGCGTGTGGCTAGCAGCTTTGAGAGATGAGGTAATGCCTTCTTCTGGCACAAAGAACGGGCTCATTCTTCCCCTGTGACAGAACCCACTGCCTATGTAGGCATCCACGTGGGCCCTTCTGCATCACCCCTGTGGGACTTGGAGGGTAAAGGGAATTGACACAAAAATGATGCTCATGCTGCTTGCTGGGTGGTGTCTTTGACCCAGGAATCTCTTGCCTCCTGCCAGAATCCACGAAACAGTACAGATTAATGCATTTGCCTGTAAGGTAAAATTTCAGCTGGAAATAGTGAATGCTACCCAGTGGTAAAGTTAACAAAGAAGCTTGGCTATCTCTGGCTGGGCTCTGGGGGGAAAAAAACAACCCTTGAGAAACCAAAAATTTGGCCCTACAGGGGTTTAGGGTCTGCATTTACAATATCCATGTAATAAAAACCCTCATGTCTAGTCATTGATTTTTCTGTAGCTCATTGAACAAAGCATAAATACATCTGAGTCGTATTCCCACTACCCAGGATTCCCACGATACCCACAGGACCAAAAAGAAAAAAAAAAAAAATCAAGCCCCCTTAAAGATGAAAGCATAGTTAAAAACTTTAGGAAACAATCCACCATAAGCCAGAGCCAGCAGATGCAACGAATAGGATCAGAGCTCCCCACACTTGGGCTAATAAAACAACATGCTGAAAGAGAATGTAAAATTGTATAAAGGCATAAAAGAAGGAAAAAAAACGTAAGAACAGGACTCTGAATAAAGATCAGGCTAGATTCGAAAAGCTTAGATGGAAAAACATAGTCCTTTTTAAAGATTTTATTTATTTATTTGAGAAAGAGTGAGCAAGAGAGCACAAGCAGAGGAAGAGGGAGAAGCAGATTCCCTGCTGAGCAGGGATCCTGACGTGGAGCTCCATCCCAGGACCCTGGGATCATGACCTGAACCAAAGGCAGCCACTCAACCGACTGAGCCATCCAGGTGCCCCTAGGAAAACATAGTTCTTAAAGAAGATAAAACTCAATGGGCAGGTTAAACAGCCAATTAGATAGAACTGAAGAGAAAAGCTAATAAAGTGGAAGATGGATCTGAGGAAAGCACCCAGAATGTAGCACAAAACTAGAGTGGAAAAATATGAAAGGGAGATAAAAAGAAACAAAAAATAGAATGACTACGTTTGATATGCATCTAACTGAACTTCTAGAGGGAAAGAATAGAGAATATGGAGAAGAAGCAATAGTTGAAGAGATTTTAGCAAATTTTCTAGAACATTTGAAAGGTGTGTAGTGGAGTCTTCCAGTTGTTCTCCAGTATATGTTCTCCCCTCATCTAATGCAATGGTCCTCAAAGTGAGGTCCCAGAGCAGGCAGCCTCGGCATCACCTGACAACTTGTTAGATATGCAGATTCTCAGCCCCATCCAAGACCTCCTGAATCATACGCTCAGAAGTGGGGCTCAGGAATCTGTTTTAATAAGCTCTCCAGTGATTCTGATCAACACTAAAGTTTGAGAACCACTGGTCTATCATAATGGAATACTGATTTGTTTTTATTTATTTATTTATTTATTTAAGATTTTATTTATTTATTTGACAGAGAGACAGCGAGAACAGGAACACAAGCCGGGGAAATGGGAGAGGGAGAAGCAGGCTTCCTGCTGAGTGGGGAGCCCGATGCAGGGCTCCATCCCAGGACCCTGGGATCATGACCTGAGCCGAAGGCAGATGCTTCACCGACTGAGCCACCCAGGCACCCCAGAAACCTGATTTTTAAAAATGTATTTATCTATTTAAGAGAGAGAGCACAAGAGAGTGTGAGTGGGTGGGGGAAGGGGAGAGGGAGAGAGAGAAAATCTTTTTTTTTTTAATTATTTGTTTATTTGTCAGAGAGAGAGCAGGAGCAGGGGGAGTGGCAGAGGGAGAAGCAGGTTCCCCGCTGAGCAAGGAGCCCTGACGCTGGACTTGATCCCAGGGTTCTGGAATCATGACCTGAGCCGAAGGCAGACGCTTTACCGACTGAGCCACCCAGGTGTCCCGGGAGAGAGAATCTTAAGCAGGCTCCACACCCAGTGGCATGGAGCCCAACCCAGGGCTCGATCTCATGACCCTGAGATCATGACCTGGGCCCAAATCAAGAGTCAGATGTCTAACTGCTCCTTGTACACACTTCCAACCAATATTTGTATTTTCAGCCCTCTCCCTCCCCTCCTCTGCTGCCTCTGGTCCACTTTCTGAAGTTCTTTGATGTAAATTATCTTGCTTCTTATTAGCTTGTCCCTTTCCCCTGGTTCTCAGGCACTTTTTTTTCGGCTTCCTTTGTTCTGCTTTGGCACTTACCATTGGTCCATGTGTGGTGGGCCATAGCTAGGCCTTCCAGCAGAAAGCCCCTTACCTGGACAAAAGTGAAAAGTTAAGGCACAGGCAAGGGGAGGTTGCAGAAGTTGGACACACCAAGAATTTCAAGACCCTGAACCTGAGCGCAGACTCAGGACCCCCATGACCCAAGCTGTTTCCAGGTGCTAACACGGATGCTTCAGCAGAGGTGGAATTAAAACCTGGGAGCTTTATTTTGAAGCTCCTCGGGCCTGTTGACCATAGTCGTCACCTCCCCGAGCATCCCCGTATGAAGACCAGAAGGAAAAAACTGGGAATTCACACTCACTAATATGGCTCCTTTGTCTGAGTCAGGCGTTGGCAAACTCCTTTTTGTAAAGGGCCAGAGAGCCAATAATTTGAGTTTTGCAGGCCATCGGGTTTTATCTCCTTGTCGCTATTCACCTTTGCCTCTGTAGCAGGAAAGTAGCCATAATCAACACATAAATAAATGGATATGGCAGCTCTCCAATAAAACTTCATTTACAAAAACAGTGGGACAGATTTGGCCCATTGACTGTAGATAACTGACCCCTGGTCTAAGTTATTTTCAGAACTTTTCATGTTCGATAAAGATTGTAAGAGAGGGCGCCTGGGTGGCTCAGTCGTTGGGCATCTGCCTTCGGCTCGGGTCATGATCCCGGGGTCCTGGGATCGAGCCCCGCATCAGGCTCCCTGCTCTGCGGGGAGCCTGCTTCTCCCTCTCCCACTCCCCCAGCTTGTGTTCCTGCTCTCGCTATGTCTCTCTCTGTCAAATAAATAAATAAAATCTTTAAAAAAAAAAAAAAAAGATTGTAAGAGAATTGCTCAGTATTTGTGGGAATCAGTTGTTTGAAAACGCAGAATTTTGAAGACTTTAAAAAAAATCTTCCGGCTTCTTTGGTTGCTGGCGCTGTTAGCTTAATTACTGTTCCTTCATAGATAATCTTTCTCTTCTCCTTGGTTACTTTACAGTTTTGTTCCACTATGTTGAGTTGTGGATTTTGTTTTATTTATCTTGTTTAGAACTCAATATAGTTCTCTCTGAAGATGTGTATCGGTTAGGATTAGATTTAACTATAACAGAAAAACCTCCCAAAAAGGGACCTGAAACAGGATGAAAGTTTATTTCTCTCTCATGTAAAAGTTAAGGTATTATTGGGGCACCTGGCTGGTTCAGTGTGTAGAGCATGAGACTCCTGATCTCAGGGTAGTGAGGTCAAGCCCCACATTGGGCGTAGAGCTCACTTAAAAAAAAAAAGAAGTCAAGGTATTTATCTTGGTGCTCTGCCATTCAAAACCTCAACTTCATGGTGTAAGATATTGGCATCTACATTCTAAGCAGCAAGATAGAGGAAGGTGAGAATAAGGAAAAAGGCATATGTACTGTGTCTCTCTTACAAGGAAGGTTCTCAGAGGCTGCTACATTAACTTCTTTTTTTTAAAGACACATTTATTCAGCGTCATGATCAGACTATTACATTTAGGAATCAACAGCATGGGTGCAAAAAAAAAAAAAACTACATTAAAACCCTTTGTTGGAATGCTTTACACTTCCCACAGAACAGAAACTAAAATAACCTGTTATACAATTAGTCACAAATACAGTCCTCGAGTTTTTTGCCCATACACATGAGTATTGTCTAAAACATGTCTTCTCTGTAGCAGCTTACATTAACTTCTTTTTATATCCATCCCATTGAACAGAACTTACATGGCCACACCAAAATATAAGAAAGTCACATGCCCAACTAAAAATCAGGATTCTACGGGACCCCTGGCTGGCTCAGTCGGTTAAGTGTCCAACTCTTGATCTCAGCTCAGGTCTTGATCTCAGGGTCATGAGTTCAAGCCATGTGTTGGGCTCCACGCTGGGTGCGAATGCGAAGCCTACTTAAAAAAATAAAAAAGCCGCACACATGCACACATAGCTTACAGTCAGTTGTTTAAAACTAAATGGTGTTTGTTCTTTCTTACGTTTTCTTGATATTAATAGTAATACATACTTGTTTTTTAAAACACATATCATTTAGAAATGTGTAAAGCAGAAGATAAAAGTTTCCCAGTAGTCCCTACATCCCCAAAGGCAACTATTGTTAACCATATCTTGATATGTTTACACAAATTTTTCTATTTAAGTATAAAAGGTCCTGGTTTGATTCCTGTAACAAAGGCCAAAATAACAGGGCTTTAAACAAAATCGATGCTTATCTCTCATTCATGTAATGATCTAGAAGCAGTCCAGAGCTAATACTGTGGTCCCACAGTGCTGGGATCCTAGGTCCCTTTGCTACCATTGTCCTGTCATTCTCAACACATAGTTTTTTGTTTGTTTGTTTTTTTAATGTTTTATTTATTCATTTGAGACACAGAGATACAGAGAGAGAGAGAGAGCATGAGCAGGGAGAGAGGCAGAGGGAGAGGGAGAAGTAGGCTCCCCGCTGAGCAGGGAGCCTGATGCGGGGCTCGATCCCAGGACCCTGGGATCATGACCCGAGCCGAAGGCAGGCGCTTAACCATCTGAGCCACCCGGGCGCCCCTTAACACATAGTTTTTTGTTTGGTTGGTTTTTTTTTAAAGATTTTATTTATTTGAGAGAGCAAGAATGAGAGCGAGCACATAAGAGGGGGGAGGGTCAGAGGGAGAAGCAGACTCCCCGCTGAGCAGGGAGCCTGACGCGGGACTCAATCCAGGGACTCCAGGATCATGACCCGAGCGGAAGGCAGTCGCCCAACCAACTGAGCCACCCAGGCTCCCCTCAACACATAGTTTTCATCTCATGGCCTAAGATAGCAGCTGCTCCTGATCTAGTTACACATCCATATTCCAGCCAGCAAGCAGGAGAGAAGAGGAAACAGACAACTCCCCTTTTTCATGCAACTGCCGGAGAAAGTTGCCTATACTACTTCTGCTCACACCCTATAGAGTGGAACATAATCACATGACCATACCTATTTGCAAGGGAGAGTGGGAAATGAAGTCTTTAGCTGGCTTTAGCTGGGCAGTGATGTACCCAGCTAAAACTCCGGGTTTCCTTTAATAAAGGAAGGAGGAGAGAATGAGTATGGGGTCACAGCTAGCAATCTCTACTACAGAATATTTAAATATATATATTTAAAAACATTTTTATTTCCAGAAAAAAGGAATCTATACATATTTATCATCTCTGCCTTAATTATGATTTTAGAGTCAAGGATCACCAGAGATTTGGGGAAAGCCTCTAGATGGAGGTCACAATGAACCAAAAAAAATGAACTCAGACAAAACAGAGGCAGACAATGTAAGGAGTAGAAGAAAATGTAAAAACAGAAATAACCTGTAATTAATAGCTCATCCATGCAATGAGTACAGGATGCTATTAAAAAAGAAATATTCAGGGGCACCTGGGTGGCTTAGTCATTAAGCGTCTGCCTTCGGCTCAGGTCATGATCCCGGGGTTCTGGAATCGAGCCCCGCATCGGGCTCCCTGCTCAGCAGGGAGCCTGCTTCTCCCTCTCCCACTCCCCCTGCTTGTGTTCCCTCTCTTGCTGTCTTTCTCTCTGTCAAATAAATAAATAAAATCTTTAAAAAAAATAAATAAAAAAGAAGTATTCAGGGGCACCTGGGTGGCTCATTTGTTAAGTGTCTGCCTTCGGCTCAGGTCATGATCCCAGGGTCCTGGGATTGAGTCGCAGGTCGGGCTCCCTGCTCAACAGGGAGTCTTCTTCTCCCTCCCCCTCTGCCCCTCCACCCACCCCCAATCATTCTCTCTCTCTCTTCTCTCAAATAAATATAAAATCTTTAAAAAAAAAAAAAAAAGGAACATTCAGAAACCAGGAAAAAGCTCTTAGAAGTTAAAAATATAGCAGAAATAAAAGTTCAATTAGCAGAGTCAAAGGATAAAGTTGAGAAAATGTTATCAGGAAACAGAGCAACAAAAAAAGAAAAAGAAATAGAAAATAGAAGAGAAAATATATGAAAATTAGAAGAGCATTTTTTTAAGAAGAACAATTTAGAAGACCTATTAACTGAGAGATTTTCCAGAAAGAGCAAAGTAAATGAGAAGAAAATTATCCAAAAATAAGATGATTTTGGGGGTGCCTGGGTGGTTAAGTGGCTGACTCTGGATTTCAGCTCAGGTCATGACCTCAGGGTCCTGGGATGGAACCCCGGGTCGGGCTCCACACTCAGCGGGGAGTCTGCTTGAGGATTCTCTCTCCCTCTGCCCCTCCCCTTGCTCATAAGCAGGTGCTCTCTCTCTAAAATAAATAAATCTTTAAAAAAAAAAGACAATTTTTCAGAACTGAAGGACACAAGTGTCCAGTTTGTAGACACATATCACTGCCCAGACAGTGGACAACAACAAAAACCCCATACCAAGGCATATCATTGTAAAACATCAGAACATTAAGCCTTCAGAGAACGAGGGTGACAAAATAAAAATAAACAATAAGGGCCCTCAAAAACCGGGTCACCCACAAAGGAAAGAGAATGTGAATGGCCTTCTCAATAGCAATGTGAGAAGTGAGAAAACAGTGAAGCAATGTGTTCACAGATCTAAGTGAACAGGATTTCCAATGAAGAAGACTATTCTTAGCCAGACTATCAATCAAATATGAGCGTAAAATAAACACACACACACACACACACACACACAGTTGCATGGGTTTTATGTTTTATGTACTCTTTTTTTTCTCAGGAAACTAGTGGGGACTGTTCTCCACTACAGTGAAGGAGTACATGAAGTGCGAGCACAACGGGGGATGCAGGAAGCAGGTTAGAGGATGGGGGATGAAGGGACCCTCAGGATGATGGTGGGGGCCGCAGTCGGCCCCACAGAGCGACCGGTCCGGGTGGAGCAAGAAGTCCAAGTGCTCTAGGAGAGAAGATCCCCCCAGACTGACCATTCATAGACTCAGCCATGTCTTCCACTATTCTGTTGGAGAGCTGGAAGAAGGATTTGTAATGGGTTGAGAGAAATGTAAGCAAATAAAAATCAGAGGCAGTAATTAACTCCTCCTACCCCCACAACTGTAGAAAAATGGAACTATAGTATGCTATGTAAGCACTTACTACTGACTTACCAAAAATTATCATATAACCACACTGAAAGAATGGGAACAGGGAAGATCATACTTTTGTTGAGGATACAAAATAGCCAGAGCGTCCTTTTCCATCATAGAAAATGAATAGTCAATATCTAAAACTGAAAAAAAAAAATCACAAAACAGCAGGACAAGCTTATTTATAGAGGGAAATGGGAATTACTTCTTTTTAAAATTATAGGCTTTGGGGCACCTGGGTGGCTCAGTTGTTAAGCGTCTGCCTTCGTCTGCCTTCGGCTCAGGTCATGATCCCAAGATCCTGGGACTGAGCCCCGCATCAGCCTCCCTGCTCAGTGGGAAGCCTGCTTCTCCCTCTCCCACTCCCCCTGTTTGTGTTCCCTGTCTCTCTGTCAAATAAATAAGTAAAATCTTAAAAAAAAAAAAAATTATAGGCCTTGTAAAACTATTGACAATTTGCATGTATTTATTTGATTAAAAAATTGAAAATGATCAGGCTAACTATAATAAGAACAGAAATGGACTGAATATCTTCCAAATCATAGGCCCTGTAAAACTATTGTTAAATACTTCGCATGTATTCATTTGATTAAAAAATTGAGAATGATCAGGCTAACCATAATAAGAATAGAAATGGAATGAATATCTTCCAAATCAGATCGGGGAAATGTGGAAATAAAAACCAGTCATTCACTGCAATAAAATGCAGGCATGGTAGATAAATGCACTGGTGAGTCGCTGGATGAATATGGTGGAGTTAGCTCATTACCCATTCCTGTGTCCTCCTGGGCCTTCCTGTATTTCAGAAGCTGGGATTCTGGGTGCAATTTTGGCTCTTCCAATCACACTTTCTCTTATTTGATTTGTAAGGTGGAAGAGAAGCAGAGCCTGGGGGTGTGCTATTCCTGTGGGTGAGGACTGCTGTGGATGTGTCTGATTTCTCTGTGGTGGCTTCTTATCATGACACTAGCCATCCAGTTCAGGAGCTGGCAAGTGCAGCCACAACTTTCCCGTTTAAGAAGTGGCTTCCAGATTTCAGAAGGGGCAGTGGCTCTTTTGGTGGCCTGGTTCGGCCGCATGCCTCTCAAAGTCACTCCTGAAGGTTCAGCCTAGAATCTGCTTCTTTTGCCCTCCAGAGAAGCCCTTTAGCTATTTTATACCCTATAATAAATCCTTTTGTACTTAAACTATCTAGAATGAATACTGTTCTCTGAAACTGAACCCAGAGGATATAACAGGAATGCAGAAAATAAAATATAAAAAAAAGTGTGAAAAATACCCCAAAATACAACAGAAGAATTCAATGACAGTGAGAATTAATCCAATTATAATTAATAAAACAAGCTTAACTCTAGCTAATAGAGATATACTCTCATATTAAAATTTAAAAATCCAGCTATATGCTATGAGACAGTATGAGACACATGAAAAACAATGAAATACTACATAGCAGTTAATCATACCTACAGATGAATCTCCAAAACGTAACAGGAAATGAGAGAAGTTGCAAAAGATTATTCAGCATGACGTCGTTTTCGCAAACCTGAAAAACAAAAATTGGTATTCTATACAGTTGGCAGATCCATACATCATACATAATAAAACTATAAAAACACGAGTAGGAATGATATGCACCCACTTGAGCCCAGTGATTGGGAGGAAGGAGAAATAAGGGTAGGGCTCTAGTTAGGTCTAATTTTATATTTCTTTAGTGAGTACCAAGTAAATGAAGCAAAACGCTTTATGTTTACTCTTGAGTGGGGGGCGTGGGTGTCATCAGTATAATTTTCTGGACTCGTCCGCGTGTCTGGTGTTGCCTAGTTGACAAAACACAGCCCCACTCTCGGCGCGGTCCAGGCGCCGTCGTCCGGGAGCAGCTCCCGGGCTGCAGAAGTTGGGGCGACAGCGGGGAGACGGGCCCCTGGCTGGAGCCGGCGTCTGCGGAGGCCCGGGGGGGCCTCGAGAAGCACCTGGAAGAGGGGCCGGGCTGGGGAGCGAAGAGCTCGCACCGGGGCGGGGGTGGCGGCTCCAGGGTGCGCACATCACGAGGTGGTTTTTGAAAAACTGAGCTGCAGATTTGGCAGCTCCGGCGGCGCGGGCCGGGCGGCCCGTGAGCGGAGCCCCCCGACGGCGGCGCGGGCCGGGCGGCCCGTGAGCGGAGCCCCCCGACGGCGGCGCGGGCCGGGAGCGGGCCTGGCGGGCGGCCCGAGGCCCCGCAGCGCGGCAGGCGCGGGAGGGAAGAAGGCGCAGGCGTCGGGCGCCCAGTCGTCTCCCCGGGCGCGAAGCGGCGGCCCGGGAGAGGGCGGGCACGAGGCCGGGGGGCAGAAGCCGGTTCCAAGTCGTAACGCGAACCGCGCGGCCGGGATGGCCCCGCGCCGCGGCCCGTCAGTCACACCGCTGCTGCCACACGGCCGCGCCGGCGTGCTCTGCGGACGCGGCTCGCGACGAGTCTCGGCGCCCGGAGCGCCGGCTGCAGCCCTCGGGCCGCGGGCGCGGGGCCGGGCGGCGGGGGGGGCCGGGGCCGGCGGCAGGCAGCGCGCGGCGGGGGCCGGGGCCGGGCGGCGGGCGGGCCGCGGCGAGGGCGGGGCCGGCCGCGCGGGGGCGGACCTCGGCGCGCTCGCGGCCGCTCGCTGGCTGTGGGGCCGCGGCGGCTCCTCTGCCGGGTCGCGCCGGAGGACGGGCCTTCGGGCGGCGGCTCGGGCGGCCTGCGGACGGACGCGCGGGCCGACGCGCAGGCCCCGCGCCCGCCGTCTCCCTCTCCCGCCGGGCCGGGCCCGCGCCATGGCCGCCTCGCCGGGCTCGGGCAGCGCCAACCCGCGGAAGTTCAGTGAGAAGATCGCGCTGCACACGCAGCGGCAGGCCGAGGAGACGCGGGCCTTCGAGCAGCTCATGACCGACCTCACCCTGTCGCGGGTGAGCGCCCGGGGCCGGGGCCGGGGCCGGGGCCGGGACGCGCGCGGGCGGGGGCGGCCCCGGCAGCGGGCGAGAGCCGGCGGGGCCGAGGCGGCGGCGGCGGCGGCGGCGGCGGCGCGGCCGGGGCCGCGAGGCGCAGCGGGCGCCGGGAGCGGGGCCGGCGCGGCCGCGGCCTCGGCGCTGCCCGGCTCGCCGGCCTCCCGCGCAGCCCGCGGAGGCGGGAGGGTCGCGGGGCCCGGTGCGCGGGGAGCGGGAGGGGGCCGGGCGGGGCGCGGCGGGCGGCGGCGCGAGGGCGGCCTGAGGGGGAGGGCGAACGGAGCCCCGGGAGGAAATCACAAACAGCTCGGAGGCGGGCGGTGCGGCTTCTCGGGGCTCCGCACATCCTCCGCCGGCCGGCCCTCTGGACGGCGGGGCGAGGAGGGCCGCGGGGCCCGGGGTGGGGTGGGGGGAGTCCCGTGCACCGTGAGCCCGGGGCCCGCGCGGGCCGAGGGGGGCTGGGGGGGGTGCCGGGAAGGCATTGCGTGCCGAGCGAGGCTTTCGTCTCTCCGCGGAGGTGCCTTCTCCGGCCGCTTTACTGTGCTCAGCCCGGAGATTTAACGAGCACTGGCAAGGTGCACAGCGTCGCTGGTGACGGAGGAGGGTCCAGGAGCAATGAGTAAGGCGCGAGCCGGGACAAACACCCGGAGGTTGGGAAACTGTTGAGTGAGGCAGTGGAGGATGGAGAGCCAAGAGGAGTGTCCGCGCAGGGCTGCGGGGAGGAGAGTCAGCGGGAGCGGGCCAGGCCTTGAGGCTCCCTAATGCTGACCTTGAAGGACCGTCGCGGGCCCGGGGGAGGATGTGCAGATGCTGGGCAGGGGGCAGGCTTGGAAGGAAGGGGAGCTGAGAGCGGAGTTGCACGCTGCGGGTCCCCCTCACTTAGCTGCAGACACGGTATCTTTTTTGGCCAAGTACAGTGTTTGGGAGAACGTCTTGAATCTGTTGCCAGAACTTTTTAATTGGAAGATTTTCATATAAAACCTTTCCTCTCGCTCTCTCTTCCTTTCTTCTTTCCTTCCTCTCTCTGTCCCCCCTTTCCCTCTCCCTCTCTCTCTCCTCCCTTCTTCCCTCCCAGGTCTCTCCCCTCCTTTTCTTCTTTTCTTGTCTTTAGATATATATTTAAAATTGGGAGACCTGGTAGCAGTCATCCTGAATTCCCATATGACAGCTTTTGGCTGGAGCTGGGTGGTGGTCGCCCCCTCAGCTGGAGAGTGGATTCCCTAGTAGGCCACAGTTCACACCACACCCTGTCGTGAGCTCCCACACCGAAGCTAGGTGTCATTTGCCATTTATCATATTTTTGATGTCTTCTTTAAATGAAGTAAATGGGAAATGAAATCTTTCTTATACACTTATATTTTTATGCTAAGAAAAAATATAGAGAGATAAAGAAGGCTGAGGATTTCTTTTATTTATTTTTTTTAAGATTTTATTTATTTGAGAGAGAAAGAGGGAGAGCACAGAGGGAGAAGCAGACTCCCTGCTCAGCAGAGAGCCTGCATGGGGCTCAATCCCAGGACCCGGAGATCATGACCTGAGCCAAAGGCAGGTGCTTAACCCACTGAGCCATCCAGGCGCCCCAACGCTGAGGATTTCAATAAATTTTTTTCCTCATGCCCTGAATAGCTTCACTCATTTATTTATCTGCCTGATGTCCACAGGCATATACATGTGTGACCTTGCTTAGATTCAGGGATGAGCATGATGAGCTCAAAGCATATTGAGAATGGTTGGGTGAAAGCTGAGAATTAATGCTGGGGCGTGGGTTGTTATATGTTGTTTAGATAAAGTGTATGTACAATACAGGCACTCTGTTTGTCCATATACCTAGAGTTAATCCAGTCTCACCCAATTCATAAACCGTCTTTAAAGCATCCCTGATAGATAAAGCCACGAGTAACGTATAGACTCTTTTAAGGCAAAATTTTTTCACAGATCCTTTGTGTTTATTTAAACGAGTTTGGTTATGTTACTTAAATATGCTCAAACATCCACTGTGCATGGAGTCCTTTGATCATAGCTGTGTTACAACCATAACTAAAAGACATGCACAAAATAAATTCACTCAACATTAAAAAATGCAATAAATTCAAATTCACATCATTAATTTGATGTGACATATGCTATTTTGCTGAACTCAGTTGAAACTCTCAGTATGGATATGATGCTAACCCCTCTAGTTCAGGTTTTCTCGAGTTTAGCAAGGCTGATCAGGTATGCCCCATGGGGTAACTCAATTCAGCCACCACTGTTCTGTGTTCTAATTACTACAAAATTATGACGTCACTTTGCCCTTCACCTGGTACAGGACATCATTTACGTGTTAATTCCTCCTGTGTTCTTTCTGTGCTACCAATTGCAGGTAAAGTAATACTACTTTGGTCCACTGTGTTTATATTTTTTAATGTATTTTTAATTTTGTTTTGAAAGTAATCTCTATGTCCACCTGGGTCTTGAACTCATGACCTCGAGATCAAGAGTTGCATGCTCTTCTGACTGAGCCGGCCGGGCGCCCCAGGGTCCAATGTATCTATAAACACAAAGGCAGATGAGAACACTGCATTTGCCGAGTTGTATTTGCTTACTTAAAAACTTTAAGGATTTGGGGCACCTGGGTGGCTCAGTCAGTTAAGCGGCTGCCTTCGGCTCAGGTCATGATCCCAGGTCCTGGGATTGAGCCCCGCATTGGGCTCCCCGCTCAGCGGGGAGCCTGCTTCTCCCTCTCCAACTCTCCCTACTTGTGTTCTCTCTCTCGCTGTCTCTCTGTCAAATAAATAAATAAAATCTTTTAAAAAAATTTTTTTAAGGATTATTTTCATAATGAAATTTACAAAACTGAACACTCCTCATAGAGAACTCTTAGATTCCCAGGCATATGTCTGTAAACCTCCAAGGGTCCAAAGATCCCAGATGGAGAAGGATCCGTCCAGCTCATTATATTCACTTATTTTATATTAATTAATTAATTATGAGAGCCAAGGGAGAGGGAGAGAGAGAATCCTAAGCAGGCTCTGTGCCCAGTGTGGAGTCAATCTCACAACCCTGAGATCATGACCTGAGTTGCAATCAAGAGTTGGATGCTTAACCACTGAGCCACCCAGGCACCTCCAACTAGTTCATTACTGGTCACTGGATGGCAGATATACTGACTTTCCATTATCAGCCCATGACAGACATCGATAATCAATCTAGATATTCTTTCCTCTCTGAGCCTGTGCTGGGCTCCAAGGCATTCTCTACATAATCAGAGCCAGTCCTTAGAGTTCGAGTTAAATCCTATTTGCCTAGTAGGTGGGATAGACCAGATTATGGGGAATTTTTCACTCTAGCTTCAGGGTTCAGCCTTATTAGGAAGCAGTGGGAATATTTTGAGAAGAGAATGCTAGTGGGGTTACTTAACCTGGGATGGTAAGAAGGGTTAAAAAGTAGAGGCAGGCGTGCCTGGAGAGAGGCTGTTCCTTTGTTCATTCATTAATTTGTCAGTACTGGAGTACCCACTGTGGTTAATGGGGTCTGGGGGGGGAGGGGGAGGTGAAGACGTGTCTTGCTTCAAAGGTCTTAGTAATTTGTTCATCAGATACTTACTGAGTCCCCAGTGTGTGCCAGAGGTTTAGGATGGACATTGGGGATTATAACAGTGAGCAAGCAAAACACAGTCTCCTTGTAGATTTTAGGGTTTAATGGAGAAGATATTCTTTTGACAAGTAAGGACACATTTTAATGAATATTACAAAAGGGGAAGCAGATGTAGCTCTGGAAATGAATGGTAGGGAGTCCTCACCTCTTCTAGTGGCCTAAAGGATTAGTGGGGGTAGGGAAGTCATTTGAGGGTATGAGGTTCAGCAAAGGGATAAAGAGGGTGATTTGAGTTGAGGCGTTCACAGGGATCAGATTGTAGAGACAGGAGATTTGGGACTTGATCCTAAGGACAATGGAGAGTCATGAAGGGGTTGAAGTAGGGGAGATTTGCATTTTAAAAGGATGCCTGTAGGGGCGCCTGGGTGGCTCAGTCGTTGAGCGTCTGCCTTCGGCTCAGGTCATGATCCCAGGGTCCTCGGATCGAGCCCCGCATTGGGCTCCCTGCTCGGCGGGAAGCCTGCTTCTCCCTCTGCCACCCCCCCTGCTTGTGTTCCCTCTCTCGCTGTGTCTCTCTCTTCAAATAAATAAATAAAATCTTTAAAAAAAAAAAAAAAAAGGATGCCTGTAGCTCCAGAGTGGTGGATAGAGCTGAGGGGAAGGTGGCAGAGAAGCCGGAGGGAGGTCGAGATAGTGGTCCAGGAGATGTGATGATGGCCTTGACACTGGGGTGGTAGCAGATCAATACTTAGGAGCTAGAAATGACCAAACTTGGTGAATGCGTGATGCCCGGCTTTCAGACTTGAGCCATTTCAAGGTATCCTCCATTAAGAGGGGGAACACTGGTGGGAGCAGCGGGGGCAGCAGATGCCTCAGTGTCAGGAGACCGTGGGGCACTGAGGTAGAGATGGTCCAGCAGGCCATTGTTTATATGGCCCTGAAGCCATATACGGATCTCCAAATAAGGAGGCAAGTCTAGACTAGTGATAGAAAT